CCCCCCCCCCATGGCCTTCCCTCCCCCCTTGGCCTTTCCCCCACAACAGGCTTACCAGCTAGATGCTACTCTCCAAGCTGCCCAGCTGCATGTCAGCAATCAGATCAACATCAGGTGATATGGCTCATTAAAAATCGGCCATCGGTATCAGCCCAAAAAATCTCTCTCGATTAATTCTCTCTATTAATGACATTATGCCATGTTGGAATAGCTTCAGTCAGAGTTGGCAACCCTAGATGGCCTGAAGAAAGCTTTTGGCCCAACTGTAACTAAAGCTGCAAAAGGGTTATTAGGCCTTTTAACCTGCTGGCTTGATTTCTGGTGGACTGAAAAGGGTCTTTTCTTCAGGTATTGACCTACAGCCTAGCCCCACCTGGAGGGCAATAAACCAATAACCACAACATTCCAAGATAGAAGTCAAATGACAATGTATATTATAACAAGTCCAAGTATCACCACTAATAATAACAATAACAGCAAACCAGAATCACAAAGTAACCAGTATTCACACTATTTACAAGAGAGAAACAGACAACAACAGCAAACTACCACTACATGGAAGTAAAGAGCACTCAGGCCTAGTGTGGAAATGAGACTGCTCCCTGCTCCTCCAGCCTTCACCACACTCAGAATGGATTTCTCTGGTGTTCCCAAACAGATACTGAGCACCTCAAAGCCAAGGGTGGGTGATACATTACCATCTCAAGGATTGACAGGTATTCTAGGCAGGTGACTCCACATGCCACATGACATGAGTCATTTCATAGTTTCATAGTTTCTTAGTTTCTAAGTAATTTCACAAGTAAGTAATCCACTGGGAAGTGAGCTCCTCACTTGCACAGCACATTTCACTACAATTTAGACACTGATCACCCCCTCAAGTATGCACACCACCAATTCTCTCCACAGACTCTCAGTTACACTCACAATTCCACAGTCACACATACCCACCATCTCACACACACAATCATACACTATCCCAAGCACACACCCAACAATTAAGCCCTCAGTTACACACACTGAGGTGCTTGCTCACAGGTTTTATACCACCCAAATCACACCACCTGTCAATCACATTCTCAGCCAATCATCAGTGACATCACTGTGTCAATCATCTGTCCATCAGTGCTGGACCACTCAAAACTATTATCACCTCATGCTCCATTAACATATTTTTCCTGCCACAGCAGTTCTATAACTATGATAGACCGTGCATGCTCAGTGCAAATGAATGCATGTATCTGTGTCATGACATAATTGAAGGTAGAAGTTCCAGTTTTCAAGAATCTTCAGACCCTCTAGTCATCTATGCATGAGCATATGATGTTATGATATAATTACACAACTTAGGCCAGCATCTGGGGTCTTCAGCTGCACCCCTCAAGTCTCAAGATAGCAAAGCTAAAATCACTAACAAGAATGAGCAAATGTCATGCTGGGTCAAACGTTACTTAGAGCTTTACTCCCATGAGACAGACATTTTGGAAGAGGTACTGGATCAACTTCCAACTCTAAGTGTAAAGACACAACTAGACAAAGAACCTAAAGCTGAAGAGTTTAGCAAGACAATAGACTTTCCAGCAAGTGGCAAAGCACCAGGAGAGGATGGCATCCCAGCTGAGGTTCTCAGGTGAGGGAAGGCTAGCCTGCTACAACATCTTCATCAACTCCTAGTGTGCTGCTGGAAGAAAGGTCTGGTACCCCTGGACATCTAACTTCATCACCCTCTATAAGAACAAGGTAGATAAGGGTGACTGTAACAATTATAGAGGCATCTCTCTCCTCGGCATCACAGGCAAGGATTTTGCCAAAGTCATCTTGAAACATTTGGAAGAACTTGCTGACTGTGTCTACCCATAATCACAGTGTGGATTCAGAGCAGGGAGATCCACAGTGGATATCATATTTTCCTTAAGCCAATTGCAAGAAGAATGCAGAGAACAAAATAAGCCACTCTATGTGGCATTTGTCAACCTGATGAAAGCCTTTGGTGCTGTTAGCAGAGCAGATTTGTTCAAGGTCCTGGTAAAGATTGGATGCCCCCCCAATATTTCTCAGCATATGATCCTCCCATGAAAACATGCAGGTTAGGTTACAGTTCAGTTTAATGACTCAACCTCTGGCAGGTTTGAGATGAAGAGTGGAGTGAAGGAGGGTTGTGTTCTGGCACCCACACTTTGAGATCTTGTTTTCTATGTTGCTGCACTACACTTTTGATGACTTGGAGAAAAGCATATATCATCACACAAGATCAGATGGCAAACTTTACAGTCTATCATGTCTAAAGGCCAAGATAAAAGTGAGGCACATACTTATTAGGGAACTCCTTTTGCTGAGAATGATGCAGTCACTTCCCATGAAGAAAGCCAACTACTAATCCTAATGAATCACCTCTCCCATACTTGCAGGATTTTTCCCCTGACCATCATCATCAAGATGACTGTGGTCCTAGGACAGGGTGCTCACCAGTCACTATCTGTCAGCCTTGACAATACACCCCTTGAGGCAGTGAACAAGTTCTGCTACCTTGGATCCACAGTGAGCAATAGCCTATCACTGCATGAAAAGCTAAATGCATGCAAACCAGTTTGGAACAATACAAAACTCACAATCAAAACTAAGCATCTTATGTACAAAGCCTGCATCCTCAGTATCCTTATGTATAGCAGTGAGACACGATCAACATATGCATATCAAGAAAAGAAGCTGAACAGCTTCCACCTATGCTGTCTATAGCACATCCGTGACATCAGATGGCAAAACAGAATCACCAACACAGAGGTCATCACCAAATCCAACCTGCCAACCACCAAATCCAACCTGTCTATTCAAAAAGCAGTGGCTATGCTGGATGGAAGATGGGTGCATCCCAAAGGACATCCTATATGGGCAAATTGCAGATGGGAAGAGAAGAGTAGGGTGCCTAAAACAACACTTCAAAGATGTCTGCAAGCGGGATATGAAAATTTTTTAAATAATCCAAACTTTTGGGAGGCCTTTGCAAGACACAGGGCAAAGTGGTGCTCCCTTCTCCATCATGGAGTTCAGTATCATGAGGAGAAATGGTCGCTTGAATTACAACAGAAACATGACCATAGAAAACAGCCTGTCAGTACAGTAGCCCCTAACACCATGTACACATGTGACCACTGTAGCAGGACCTGCAAATCTAACACCAGTCTTTACAGGCACAAGAGAAAATGCACTACCAGTCAGTAGAATAGCTGCACTATCCACCATCATTCACTGATGAATGGGTGCTATATACAGGTTTTCCTATACTGAAAAGCAATAGTCTTAGTCAGTCAGAATACAAGGATGCTCTTGAGTCTCTGACCAATGCTTAAAATTATTCCTGAGGAATTTTGTTTTAAATACCTGTTGTAAGGTTAATTTTACAACAACAAAAGATGATGTTTTAAGGGCCAATATTAGCAAGAGCATAAGGTACATACCATCATGATATAAATTAAAATAACTCAATGAACTTATACAAATGGACTATCTGGACATATAGCCTTATTTACAAACAACTGTAAATAGATTTTGCAAATCATGAACTCTGATTGACCTGATTAGCCTCAGACCTGCTGAAATACCATATTTACTTAAATAGAAAACAACCCTGATTATAAGACAACCCCCCAGTAACTAGATTCTATATATGGAAAATTTATAAATTTGTTATAATTTTCCAGGTATGGAATCAAAGTATTTGAAGTTTGCTTTGAATTTGTCCCCCTTTGCTACAGCAAGGAAAATAAATCTGAAGTATGAACAACGCATGCCCCTGGAGGCTGGGGGGATATAGCAACCACCTGCAGACGGCAGGGGAGAGGCAGGGGAGCTCTCACAGGCAGCTGCAGCAGTATTGGCAGTAGAGGCAGGCTGAGTGGGGAGCTCCCGCAGGCAGCCGCAGCAGTGTCAGTGGAGGGGGGGGGAAAAAGCGCTGACTGGTTGTCAGCAATCAACCACAGATGCTCCCGGCAGCAAGGGGAGGGGTAGCGAGCAGCATCCACTCATGGGGGTGCACTGCCAATCTCAGGGGGTTCACATGCATCTGTGTGCATGCCCTATGCATCGCCAATGATCTGAGGGGTCAGGTAGCCCTTTGCTTTCTGCTTCCCCCTCAACCTTTTCCCCTGGGAACCCTACCCTCTTCTCCTTACTGTCAGACCCTGCTGTCTCTGACCACATGGAAGTGAGCAAGACATTTCATAGTTGGTAGGGTCAGAAGGGACCTGAGCAGATCATCAAGTCTGACCCTCTGCCATGGGCAGGAAAGAATGCTGGGGTCAAACAACCCTGACAAGGTATCTACCTAGCCACCTTTTAAAGATCCCCAGGGTAGGAGTGAGCACCACTTCCCTTGCAAGTTTGTTCCAGATCCTAGCCACCCTTACTGTGAAGTAGTGCCTCTTGATATCTAGCCTGAATCTACTGTCCATCAACTTATACCCATTATTCCTTTTTACTCCCAGTAGTGCTCGGGGGAACAGGGACTCTCCCATTGCCTGCTGGTCTTCCTTGGCCAGTTTATAGATGGCCCCCAGATCCCCTCTCAGCCTTCTCTTGTGGATGCTAAACAGGTTCAGGTCTTGTAGCCCCTCCTCATAGGACCTGCCCTGCTGCCCCCGATCATGTGACTGGCCCTCCTCTGGACTCTCTCAATGCTCTCCACATTCCTCCTGAAATGCATCACCCAGAACTGGATGCAGTAAACCAACTGTGACCTGACCAATGTCATATAGAGGGGGAGGATCACTTCCTTGGACCTGCTCATGATATATCTGTGGATGCATGACAAGGTGCCTTTAGCTTTCCTGACTGTGTCCCCACATTGGCGGCCCATGTTCATCTTGGAGTCTATAATGACTCCAAGATCCTTTTCTACCTCTGTGCTGATGAGGAAGCAGTTCCCCAGCCTGTAGGTATGCTGCTGGTTCTCTCTCCCCAGGCACAGTATCCTGCACTTGTCAGTATTGAAACCCATCCTGTTCTCATCCGCCCACCCCTGTAACCTGTCCAGATCCAATTGCAGCCTGTCCCTCCCTTCTAGTGTGCCCACTTCTCCCCACATTTTAGTGTCATCTGCAAATTTGAATAAGGTGCTTTCACCCCCTCGTCCAAATCACTGATGACGATATTGAACAGTGGTGGCCCAAGGACTGAGCTCTGGGGGACCCCACTGCCCACAACCCTCCAGGTCGAAGATGACCCATCCACCACCACTCTCTGGGTATGGCCCTCCAGCCAATTTGCAACCCATCTGACTGTGTAGGCATCAACACCACAATCGCCTAATTTTTTTAATGAGAATGGGGTGAGAGACAGTGTCAAAGGCCTTCATAAAGTCCAGAAAAACTATGTCCACTGCGAAACCTGCATCCAAGGATTTTGTGACTTGGTCATAGAAGGCCACCAAGTTGGTCTGACAGGACCTGCCTCAAATGAACCCATGTTGGTTGCCCCTAAGCATAAACTCCCCTGCTTGCCCCTCACAGATGTGCACCTGGGTAATTTTCTCAAAGAACTTCCCTAGGACCAAGGTAAGACTAACAAGCCTATAATTTCCTGGGTCTTCCTTCCTCCCTTTTTTGAAAATAGGGACCACATTGGCCCTTTTCCAGTCCTCTGGCACCCTGCCAGAGCACCATGAGTGCTCGTAAAGCTATGCCAGGGGTCCCTCAATGACCTCTGCTAATTCCCTCAGCACTCTGGGATGGAGATTGTCAGGACCTGCTGATTTGAACACATCCAGTCCCACCAGAAGTTCCCTGACTAGGTCCTCACTGACCCTAGGCCTGGCTGTGCCTCCCTTGGGACCATCGGAGATTTGAAAACAATAAACTTGAAATTAAACATGGCTGTAGCATTTTGCGTGTAGTATCCATGCACTTAGTTCATCCAGAATTGATTAACATAACCTTTTTTTATTAAACTGCTGCAAGTTTTAGCACAGGTACTCCATAAACACACTTTTAAGGAGCACTTTGGTGCCTAGTTCTATGTAGTACACACTTTTTTGTTTTTTTCAAAAGACCCATGTACACACACATACTCACACATATACCCTTACAATTGTGTCTTGTGACTGATCCAGTTCACTTGACAGTCCAAAACATGTATACTTAACTATTACTTTCCCCATACAATACCTGCAACTGTGAGCCCTTTGCTATCTTCTTCAACAATTACTACTATGCATCATACTAGTCCAAAATTAAAGGGCTCATGAAGGCTCATAGCTCATGAGTTCATAATTGTCCTAATGAGCCTGGAGAGCTCCAAAGCCCAATCTGAGAACCTAGCTGTGAGATCCCCACCTGCAATAACTCCCAAGGGAACATGTCTAAGTCCAAGTCTCCCACCATGCAATTATATTGAACAACCAGAACTAAAATATGGGTGCAAAGAAGATAATTTGTAAAACAAGTGGTGGAAAGCTGAGAATAAAGTTAACATTGGCATGTGTGGTTTATCTTTTATGGTAATAATAATGGTAAGGTTATGGTGGTAATTGTAAGGTTTGTACTTTATATTTTTACATAGGATATGGAGGCAGCTTAACAATAAACTTTAACAAATCTAATTGCCATACAAGACCCCTCATCACATTATAGTTGTCACCACCTGATTCTCTGCTGGAAGGTGAAAATTTAGTACATGCAGGAATACAATATCATCTCGCTCCATGAACTGACCCTCCTGAAGACAGCCAAGGGACAATATTTACCTGAATCCAAGGCAACTTGAAAATTAAGATCATCCCACAATTATTAGATTCTACACATGGGAAATTATAAATTTGTTTTAATTTTCTAGTTATCGGAGGGTTCTCTTAAATTCATCCTCCCACCACTGACACAGGTAAAGTAGTGGCAGGAAAGGCAGGAGCTGGGAGGCAGGGAACCTACCCTATGCCCCTTGCACTAACCCTGTCCTCCCCCAGTGACTTCCCCCCCACTTGCCCCCTCTGGTGCCTGCCCCCCACCACTAGCCACATACCCTTGAAGCTGCTCTGGCTCTGTCTCCACCAGGGGCATACACCACATGGGTGAGCCAGGCAGTAGCAGTGGCTCTGGCCATGCACCTCGCATTTCTCCATTTTGAATGCCATCAGATTTTCATTGGCCCACTGTACAAGCTTATTGAGGTTGTCATGGATCATCAGCCTATCCTCAAGTGTGGACACTCTTCCTCAAAGTTTGGTGTCATCAGCGAACTTGGCCAGTCCACTTTTGACACCAGTGTCCAGATCATTTATGAAGACACTAAAGATTACAGGTCTGAGAACAGAGCCTTGGGGGGCACCACTAGTCACCGAGTGCCATGTTAATTTCGTTCCATCAACTACCACTCTCTGGGTCCGACCCTGGAACCAGTTCCCCTGTGGAGTATTTGAGGCTGCAGTAGCCCAATTTTTCCATGAGGACATGTTGGGACACCAGGTCAAAGGCTTTTTTAAAGTCCAAATATATTACATCAACCTCTTCCCTTTTGTCCTGGTGATACATTACTTGGTTATAGAAGGAAATGAGATTGGTCAAGCAAGACCTACCCACAACAAACCCAAGCTGGCTATCCCTCAGAATTTTGGCTTCTGTTAGCCTGTCAAGAATGGTTTCTTTGAAAATTTGTTCCAAAATCTTCCCAGGGATTGAGGTCAAACTGATTGGCCTGTAGTTTCCTGGGTCTTATTTCCTCTCTTTCTTAAAGATAGGTGACACATTGGCCTTCTTCCAATCTTCAGGTATTTCACCTGAGCACCACAAGTTCTTGAATATCCTTGCCAGTGGCTGCTCGGTGATGTCTGCCAGTTCCTTTAGCACTTTTGGGTACAACCTATCCAGACCAGCTGATTTATGGCAGTCCAGCCTCTCAAGATGTTTCCTCACAAGATCCATGCCAATGGTGGGCATATATTTATCCTCATCCGGATCATCCTGCATCATGTTAGGCAGGGTGGTCCATTTGGGCTGGTGAAAAACTGATGTGAAGTAATCGTTAAGCAGATTGGCTTTTTCCACAGTGTTGGTAGTCAGCTGCCCCAGCTGGTTTAGCAGGGGTCCAATGTTATCCTTGTTTTTCTTTTGACTCCTCACATACCCTGAAGAAGGACTTTTTATTATCCTTGTTTCATGTAGCCAGATGAAGTTCAGTTGCAGTCTTGGCTTTTCTAGTTCACTCCCTGCAGGTATGGACCAGTGCAGTGTACTCCTCTGCCATGGTGTGTCCTGTCTTCCACCCTTTATAAGCCTCTCTTTTTAGATGTAGGAAGTCTATGAGTTCCCTCTTGAGCCAAGGGGGTTGTTTTACCACCTTTCCTACAGGTTGGGATGGACTCCCTTTGTGCTTCTAGGATTGCTTCCTCTAGGAGCATCCTGAACTCCCCTCCCTGTGAAATCATTGCCTTTCAAGGCCTCAAGAACAAGCCTCCTGAGCATATGAAAGTCAGCTTTCCTAAACTCAAGGACTACTGCATTGCTGGCTGGCTTGCCAGCTTTGTGATGAATAGTGAAAGTGATCAACTCATGGTCACTATCACCCAGCTTCCCTTTGATTCTTAGGTCACTGATTAGATCATTCCCCTTGGCCAGTACCAGGTCCAGCAGCACCTTGCCTCTTGTCATCCCATAAGCTTCTTGAGACAGGTAGAGCTCATCCACACATGTAAGGAAGCTTTGTGACGGATCAGATTTGGCCTAGTGCACATCCCATGAGATTTCTGGGTAGTTGAAGTCTCCCATGATGACCATGTACTGAGAGCACACAGCCTCAGCCAGTTCCCGGGTGAATTCTTGGTCAAGCACTTGTTCCTGGTTTGGAGGTCTGTAGTAGATGCCTACCATTGTATCCACTTCACTGTATTCCCTTGTATTCTAACCCAAAGAGTTGGCACAGAAAAGGCACTTGAACTGTGTAACCTTCTTCAAAGACAGTACCCAGTACACTCTGTGGCATACTGTCTGCTAAAGAGATCAGAGAACAAGCTAGATACCAGAATTGTAGGGATTCTAAATATTTCATGACAATGAAGAAAGAAAGAAAATATTAATCATGTTTGTAAGCCAGGTCTCAATATATATCAATTATGGGAAACATGGACAATTCCATGAATGTCCACAAAGCTTCAAATCAATTCACAAGTTCACTATAAATTAATTTGTAATCATTTAAATTTTTATGAGCTTTCTATTGTATAAACCATTACTTGTAATATCTTCTTAGAAGCTTGATATTTCACTTTTAACTGCTTTTGTCCTTTTCCACTTGGCAAATATGGATTCATTGTTACATGGGGCTGATGTTGACATGATTATTCATTTCAAGAAATGCAGTTCCAATTTACATAGCTACTTAACATGCTAATGATTAATTTGACTCTCCAAGAGCATTGTTGAGAAAGTCAGTACAGATATGGGAACATTTCATTTTTTAAGTTTTGCACTAAAAAGTTGTATTGAAAGCATCAAGTATCACTACCTGCATTTACTGTAGAGCTCAGCCACTACTGTCATAGACTTCCTGGGGAAAAATACATTATCAGACTGGAGAGAGAGAAGGGGTCATTAATGATATCTTGACTGACCTAGGGGCATTTCTTTGCAGCTGGAGGGGTAGATCTGGGGCTTGGAAGAGACAATTTATATCTTACAATCCATAAGCCTTTCCTACAACTGATGAAAAATTGGGCCTCAATTGCTTTGGCACTGCATTCTATTATACAAAAGTAATGTTCTTATTTTTTCACTAACCATTTTGAGTTTACTTAGAAAAGTGACACTTAGTAAGGAAATCTATTTGAAGAGAATGCATTAGAACTGGAAAATGTTTAAATCCCATACATGTAAAATACAGTAGTATTAAGGAAGAAAAAAGGTACTGGAACTATAGAGAGAGGAAAAATTCTTGTGAGACATGTAGGCTCAAATAATTTGGATATCATACAGATAAACACTAGGAGTGATATCCTTATCCTCATTCTTTCCCTTTACATCATGTAAAAGGGATAGAGCACTACAAGGAGACTCTAGAAGACCCAATACATCTGAGGGAGGCATGAATGGTGTGTGCCCCTGGCAGCTGGGGGGGGCACAGCAGGACTGCAGTGGCAGGAGTGGCGGGAGCGCAGCGGTGGTAAGTGGGGGAGCTCCCACATATGCTAAAGGCACTGTTGGCCATGGGGGAGAGGGGGTGGCAAGCACCAACCAAGGGTTAGCAACCACCCACAGTCAACACTGGCAGCAGTAGTGGTGGCCAGCAGGAATCACAGACTGCCCGCAGGCACCGCCAACACTGTCGGTGGTGCCTTTTTGCAGGGGGTGCACCGCCAGGCTCAGGGGGTGCATGTGCACCGGCGTGCATCTCCTATGCATTGCCCCTGGAGGGAGGATTGCACTGGTGGAGAAAACAGCTGGATTCCTCCAGAGGACCCTCCCACAAATTCCCACACAGAAGCATATCTATAAGGAATGAGACCATATGTAGCAGCTGCACAGAAATTCTGTGAAATACTGTGAGTGCACATGCTGGGAATGTTTCCAAATAAGGAAACAGGCCAAAATTAGAATGGTGTGAAGGTGGATTAGAGCTATTTTAGCCTTTGCACATTGTCAGACAGTGGATTCTGTGCAATGCCCCTTAAGAGTCATTTTAGCTACTAAGATATGAAAAAAAAAAGGCTTCCCAAATCTTTGGAAGTTTTACCTTCACTTCTTCTAGTGATATCTTTCTGCAGAGCCAATGGAAGAATGTCAAAGAGACTTAGGAATACTACATAAAGAGTCATTTTATAGAGGAAAGCAAAATATACTCTTTAACAATCCTGTTTCTTAGAATCCTGATAGTTTTACCACTGTAGTTTCACTAGAATAGTATGTATAGCTACATTTTGGTGGTCTGACATTCAAAGGGTCTGTACATCCATACTGTCCACCATCTTCCAAAGATTATATTACATTATTATTATATTGTTACATTACTGTACTATATTATTTTACAGTACATTGTAATATTATTTACATTATTATAATGCATTATTGTTATTATAATATGTTATTGTTATAGCAGGGTTTCAACATCTTCAAAAACCTTTCCATGTTGCTTCTCAGATACCTACAAATAAATTCAGAGTCTATATTCAACAATCTGATTTGAAAATGCTGTCTGGACAGGTTATTCAAATAGAAAGAAAAGTCAAGGATTGAGGAACTGGAGAACCAAAGAAACACCTCAGAAACAGATCTCTTTTACTTTGCATAGTTTAATGTATAAGGCTTTAATATGGTCACTCACATTCTCACACATTTTTAAAAGAATGCAAAGAGCTTAAGGCTTTCACATTGTCTTGATATCAAATTTAACATTTCATGGAGCTTCCTAAATTCCATGAAGATTTTGAAAATATTTTTTGGTTGTAGTAGTACTTTTTTTTTTTAACT